GAGGGTGGCACTGAAGAGTTTCGGTGAAATGGTATCACCCTGCCAAACCCCTCTCTTGACATCAATGATTACCTCTTTGTAGAATGGTGAGATCCTGGGAGTGAATCTGCAATACAGTTCACGGAGGATCTTGATATATTGAGCTTGAATGCCCTGATTGGCTAGGGCTTCAATGACCGCTTCCATCTCAATAGAATCAAAGGCCTTCTTTAAATCAATGAACGTTAGACAGAGCGGCATCTTGAACTCCCGAGAGACGTCAATGAGCTTGGTTATCGTGTGGATATGGTCGATGGTGCTGAATCCTTTTCTTTTTATTAAATTTTTATTAGTGAAACACCATGAGGTACAGTTGTAGACTTACACGTTTTTGTACTTGGGTTTTAGAGTTTTACGACCCCTTTGTAAGTCTCACTGTCCCTCTGTTTTTCTTTAGATACAAGAGATTGTCTAATCTGTTTCTTACAGCAGATTTTACGGCTCCTTTCTTTCCTTATCTCCCTGTCCTCTATATCACCCATGTAACTAACTAAAATGCTTAAAATAATTACACTGGTTCCTGGTCCCCTGTCAGCCACAGCTTCACTTCTCTGCTTACCTGTATAGCAAAAATGTCTGGAAAGTTGCCCACTTCGTAGCTCTTCTACTCTTTCCAATTTACCTCTCAATGTCTCCCCAATCTGGCTTCTCTTCCTCAGCCTTTATCACTGAAAGTATTTGAGGACAGCAAAGTCTTGCTTTTTCAAGTGATATAAGTGAACCACTTTCAACCAATGTAAGCGAATACTCACTTTTTTGGATATGCTCCTTTTATGCTTAGACATGTTAAAATTATGATATATTCCCTTGAATATCTCCTTATTCTCTGGCATCTATCAAAAATGCTTGAGTTCCTCAGGATTTATCCTTTCTTTTGCTTTGTTAGTTTTTCTCCTTTCCCCCTCCCTCTCTCTCGCTCTCTTTTCCTTTTTCTTCCTTCCTTCTTTCCTGTCTCTTATCCTTCCCTTCCTTCTACCCTCCCTCCCTTCCTTCCCCCCTTCCTTCCCCCCTCCCTCCCTCCCTTCCTCCCTCCCTCCCTTCCTTCCTTCCTTCCTTCCTTCCTTCCTTCCTTCCTTCCTTCCTTTCTTCCTTCCTTCCTTCCTTCCCTCCCTCCCACCCTCTCTTCTTTCCTCCCTCCCTCCTCAAGTTCCCTCCCACCCTGCAGCTGCCTCCTGGACAGGCACATTTTTAACTTTGATTCTTGTAATTTGGGCTCCTGTTTACAGTGTTGTCTCTGGTTTAGATATATAAACCCACCTCTCACCACCAATGTGCCCAAAGCCTTTGCTCCCTGCCTGTTACCTCCCATCTGCCTCTTCTTACTTCTTACCTCTTCCTGTTCAATTAATTTACTTCCCTCTCCTTCTCATTTCTATAATCTAGAGTCCAGGGTCATCTAAGTGTCTCCCCTTTGATACCTGGGGTTCCTAAATCCTGTTATTCAACATATTATAGACAGGTGAGATTATCCAATTTGTGTCCTTCTGTCTCACTTCACTTAATCCGATATCCTCCAGTTCCATGCAAGCTGCAGTGAACTGCGTGATTTTGTCATTCCTTGAAGCTGCGTAGTATTCCGTTACAGGTATATAGAATTTGATTCAGGACCAGAGAAGTAGTACAGCAGGTAGGGGATTTACCTTGCAAGCAGCAAACCTGGCATCCCATCTGGTCCTCCAATCACTGCGAGGAGTAATGTCACAGTGCAGAGCCAAGAATAAGTCCTGGCCATTACTGAGTATGACCCAAATACAAAAACAAAAATCTGATTCATAAAAAATAAGATGTTATGAAAAGTGTCCATATTCAGTGGCTACCAAGTGTCAAAGGATCATAGGGGCACAGGAAAAGTACAAGATGGGGAGAGCTCCCGCAAATGGGCAGGTGGATGTAGCAGAAAGACCCGAAAAGGATACAAAGAAGGGAAGAGAGATATGGTGTCTGAAGTTTAATAGGTTTTCTGTGTTTTTTTCCATGCCACATTCATTCTCCAAAGGAGAACAGAATCTAAATGTGTTAGATTTTCCTCCTTTGCTCCTATTAGTGCTGTGAAGTGTCTCGGCACTGCCCCCAACTTTCTCAGGCCTCCCAAAGTCATGAGGATATTGGAAAACGATTCATCACTGAACTTCGTACCACATAGACTCCCACAAAAAATCTTGATTCCTATCTATTCAAAATGTATTTTATTTATGATTTGGAGCTGATCCACATTGGGCAGTGCTTGAGGGATACTCCTAGCTCAGTGCTCAGGGATCAATCTTGCTTGGGGGTTCATGCGATGCCAGGGATTGAACTAAATCTCGATGCAAAGTATGTGCTCAGTTCATTAAGCTATCTCTCCAGCCTATTTGAGTTTTTTTTTAAGTTTTGGGGCCAAACTTTGCTATGCTAGGGCTTATTTGTGCCTCTGCACTCAGGGATGACTGTTGGTAGGGATTAGGGATCATATGGAGTGCTGAGGATCGAACCTGGGTTGACTGTCAAGGCAAGCGCCCTACCCAGTGTATTAGTTCTCCAGTTCCTCTGTTTCAATGTGTATGGTAACTCTGAGTTACCTAGTATTTCCTTTTCCAAGTTAATCAAAGTTGAAATTCTGTTCCTTGCAACCAGAGAAAGTGAGCTAACCAAGCAAGTGGTCGGTCCAGTAAAGGGTATGACAAAGATCAAAAGAATCTTTGAAGAAAGCTGAAGTACAGGCATTCTGTTTAAAATTAAAAGAAAGTGTATTAGTGACTTAAAAATTGTTGGCTGTGGCACAATGACTAACTAACTCCATATTTATACATTCATATGTGATTAGTGAATGGTTAAGGTGTTGTGTCTTATTGCAGCAAACGATATTTAGAGTTTATATTCACATTGCCTGAGTTAGAAATAAAATAAAGTTTGCCCTCTCAAGCCTATGTTCTCCCAGGAACACATTATCTCACTTGCTTGTCCCTATGTCTTTTTGCTTGCTTGTCAAGTTCTGCTCATTGTTGAACATGTATTCCTTTTCCTTTTCCCCCTTCACATCTTTTTAAGTAAATTTCCTTCATTAAATACTATCTTGCTTCACTAATAAAAGAAAAACAGGTAAGCATAAGTAAAAATAATAAGGCACATGCTACAGGATAAAAATTAAGAAATTCTGAAATTATCAAATGACTGATATAACAACAAACTGTATTATACTCCTTTATTTAAATTTAGCTGTTTGATTATTTTTAATTTTAGTTATAAAAGTTGTACTAGGTAAACCAAGTAAATAAAAAATTTCAAGACTGAAATATATGACATAGATAACACAAGAAAAAATATAGTAGAACACCAATTAAGATTCATTCAACAAATGTCTCCAAAAATGCAGAGCAAAATCAGACAAACAACTGCTACAGAGAAATCAATCAGGCAAGTGAAAACTTTTGAAACAAAAAACTTATTTTTAAATTAATCTTGCTCTCTCATTAGACAGATAAGACCGTATGATCCTGAAAAAAAAAACCCAACTTGTTATAAGGATTATTTCACACATGATTCAGATGAAAGAGCCCTTTTGTGAAGAGAATGACAGAATGTTTCATTCCTGTTCAGTCTGAAATTTAGCAATATGAACTATAAGAAAGTTTTAAGATATTCTCATAGATATTTTTATTTATTTGAGAACTATATATTATATGAATCATCTAGGGCTGGAGCGATAGCACAGTGGGTAGAGCATTTGTCTTGCATGTGACTGACCTGAGTTCAATTCCTCTGTTCCTCTCAGAGAGCCCAGCAAGCTACCAGGAGTATCCCGTCCGCATGGCAGAGCCTGACAAGCTCCCTGTGTCGCATTCGATATTCCAAAAAACAGTAACAAATCTCAAAATGGAGACATTACTTGTACCTGCTCGAGCAAATCAATGAACAATGGGAGGACAGTGAGACAGTGCTACATGAATAATCTAATTATAAGAGAATATGCCATATACTATTATATCCTATTGAGTAATATATATTTATATATATACATTTTACTGGGTCTTTTTCAAAGTAATCTCATTACTCTTTGTAAACATAATAAAAATTAATTTCTATGAAAAGATAATACTGTATCCTGACAATACTATCTAAAATTTTCTTTCATATCCAAGATATCTTCAGAATGAGTAAGACCAGGAAACTCAGGAGTCCACTCTGCCACAGGTTGATTCCATCTTGGCATAACTGGCATTTGGGAAAAATTATTCTTTGCTGCAGAATAAATATACATGTAGAGGCTGTTTAATGCACTGTAGGCTGATAGCATCCCTGCATTCTACACACTAAAGTATCACTAATATCTCTAGTCATGACAGATGTTCCCAGGGGGGAAAATTTGCTTCCTGGTGAAGAAATACTGGTTTTAACATCATGACTACAACAAAACAGAGACAATCTCCTGCTGTATAATTCCACTATGAAGTTAACTCTAATTAAATTGGAGTTACACTCATACTTTTGCTCAGAACATATGTCAGCCATCACTACTATACCAGTTTATGCTAGACCTGAACTGTCTGTGTGATTTTACGAATACTTGAAACATAGCTATTCCAAAGTGGTATGTTGCGGTGAGTACATAATATGCACTGAAATGTTGACTTATTATAAAAACAATGAATATATCTCCATTTCTATGTTAATTATTTTGGAAATACTTTATTGGGTGAAATACATTAACATTAATTTTACCTGCTCATTTTTCTTTTATCTACAGCAGTCATGCCCATCAGTCAGGGGCTCCAGGGGCCACACTCCTGGCACAGAGATTCAGGCCTGATGCTTTGGTGCTCAGAACTACAGCAGAGGTGCCGAGGACTGATCTCAGGGTCATCCGCTTTTGAGACAAATCCCTGGCTCAGTTCAGCTTTACTTTTTAATCAGGTTAACAAAAAATTCTAAATTTTTTGTTGGATAGCACAGGTCTAGGAGCTTGAAATAATTCTGCCTTACTTTTAACGAAATAGGGTATTAGTCTTTCTAATAGTCTGTGAAATGAGCTTTGAGGATCATAATTCTTTATTGTCATGCCTTAATGATTTTCCTTCTTTAAACCAACTGCTTCTGTTCCAATGCTTTATTCTCAGCGTTTCAATTGGTTCTTTTCTGATTGCTGATCTATCTTCATGTTGTTCTTTGTTCTCCAGCACACTTGATTCTTTAATAGGCTCAGAAACTTTCCTGGCTGGCTGCTGAAATGATGCTGCAGCATCCATCATACTTAGAAAATCATAAGCGGGAAGTGGAGGTTTCCATTCCTGAGCAGGTAAAATAGCTGGAAGGAAGAAACAACCAAGATAAAGATATATACACTTATCACATGAAAAAACTAGAAAATGTTTGATTTTGAAAAATGTATTTGTAGGTCTGAAGGCTTTATCTACTACTTATGTAGGAAGAATTACATTTTTAATTGTCATGAAAAAAACTACTAACCAGCTTCATTTTAGATTATATTTATGGGCATTATAAGTGTGAATAGAAAAACAAAGGCCTTGCATCAATGTACTATAGTTTCTTTAACTGGTCAGCTTCAAATGCTGGGGCAGAAGACAGTTGGGATAGAAAGGAGACCACTATGACAAAGATCGTTGGAAATGATGACTCTGGATAAGAACTGCGTGCTGAAAGTAGGTAAAGGACCAAACAAGATAACCCCTCAGTATCTGTATAGAAAACCACAATGCCCAAAAGGAGAGGTGAGAAACAGAGAGAGAGAGAGACAGAGAGAGAGAGAGAGAGAGAGAGAGAGAGAGACAGAGACAGAGACAGAGACAGAGACAGAGACAGAGACAGAGAGAAGTGCCTGCAGGCTGGGCGGGGGGGGGGGGGGGAGCATCACAGAAGGGACACAGGGAAGGATAGGTGTTAGAATACTGTATGACTGAAACTCAATCATAAACAGCCTTATAACTGTGTATCTCGTGGTGATTCAATTTTAAAAAATAAACTAAATTTAAAAAATTTTAAAGGCCTATAATTTTAAAGTAATTTAAGTCTAGGGAATTTAAAAATTAATATTGAACATGAACAGTAACATGTGGGGCCAGAGGTAATGCAAGGAAGTTAAGAAAATTTGTCTTAAATGTGTTCAGTCTTCAGTACCTTAACGTCCATCAAGGAGTGATCCCTAAATACAAAGCTAGGAGTGATCCCTGAATACCCTTGGTGGGGCTGCAAAACCAAAATAAGCAAATAAATAAAAAGTATATCTTCTACTATTTGAGAAGAATCCCAGGCTTCCCATCCCCATCTTTACACCAGAGAACTGCAATAGCATTTCACTGAATCATTCCAGGAAAAAATAATCAGAATCTATTCTTCATATTATCAGTTTTATTGAGGGGGCCTCCCAAGAAAAGCTCAGGGCCCAAGGGCCACTATCATTTTTATATTCATGCAAGAATAAGCAGACGGAATGGTGTGAATGGTGTGGAGAGATAGTACAGAGGTTAAAGTGCTCGCCTTGCAAGTACACATCCCCACACCACATGTGGTCCTCAGATCATTGCCAGGACTGATCCCTGAACATAGGGCCAGGGGTAAGCCCTGAACATTTATATACCCACTCATCTCTGGCAAAAAGAAAAACCAAAAAAAAAAAAAAAAGAAAAAAATTTACCTTTAAAGCATCTTCCAATTTTAAAAATGCTGTTAATTAATATGTTACACATTATGAAAGGTTCATTAGCATAATTATAGACAAGGAAAAGTAAAAATTCTATGGAATCAACAGATAGTAATAATTTGTTAGGTTTCTAAAGGCAAGTTTAAACATTACTTTAGAACATTAGTCATTAGAAGAGAAAAACTGAATAAACTGATAATGTATATTTAAGATAAGTGAGATAACATTTTTCCATTGAATAGACAGATTATTGGAAAAAAATTTTAGAATTTAGTTGACAGTTTAAAAATCCACTATTAGAAATAAATTAAATGAGAAGTTCAAAGTAAATATTTTTTAAAAATAAAGTCCAACAAAAAATCATTATTCTTATACAAATTGAAGCTGTCCTTGTTTGTTGTTTTGAAGTATAGTGTTACCAGGGAAGAATACTGAAAAGTGACCTGTCTATAATAAACAGGGCAAAAAGAAAGGATATTGCAATTTGTTATATATTCATAAAGTTGGCCTATAAAAGATATTATGGTATCTTTAAGAAAGGATAAGCCAATTTGGGGACTGGAGATGCAGTACAGCAGGCAGGACATTTGCCTTGCACGCAGCCAACCTGAGTTCGATTCCCAGCATCCCATATGGTCCCCCGAGCATCACCAGGAGTAATTCCTGAGTGCAAAGCCAGGAGTAACCCCTGTGCATTGTGCATTGCTGGGTGTGACCAAAAAGCAAAAAAAAAAAAAAAGATAAGTCCAATTTACACAGACCCTCAATGAGGAGGTAATCTTTGATAAAGGAGCAAGAAATGTGAAGTGGAGGAAGGAAAATCTCTTCAACAAGTGGTTCTGGGAAACCTGAGCAGCTATATATAGAAAAATGAACTCAGACTTCTCTCTAATGCCATTCCCAAAAGTCAGATCTAAATGGATCAAAGACCTCAACATCTGACCTGAATTTATAAGGTATATGAAGGGAAATTTAGGCAAAATCCTCCATGATATTGAAGCTAAAGGTATCTGCAAAGATGAAATACCACTGACCAAGCAAGTGGAAGCAAAGATAAATAAATGGGACTATATTAAAAAGCTTCTGCACCTTAAGAGAAACAGGGATTACTCAATGACTCTCTTGCAGACCACAACACCCAAAAGGAGAGAGAGAACAAAAGGGAATGCCCTGCCACAGAGGCAGGGTGGGATGGGGGGGATGGGTGTGGGAGGGATACTGGGATCCATGATGGTGGAAAATGGGCACTGGTGGAGGGATGGGTACTTGATCATTGTATAATTGAAACCCAAGCACAAAAATTTGTAAATCTACAACTGTACCTCATGGTGTTTCACTAATAAAAATAAATAAATAAATAGATAAATAAATAAAAAAGAGAGAAACAAGGATCAAGATACAAAGACACGTGAGACCAGCTTCCAAATTGTGGAGTGTGTTTTTGTATTTTGATCCCTATTTTTCTTAAGGTGCAGAAGCTTTTGAGTTTAATGTAGTCCCATTTGCTTATCTTTGCTTCCACTTGCTTGGTCATATGCTGGGGGGGAAAGGCAGCTGGGACAGAGAAGGGACCATTAAGTAAATGATAGTTGGAGGGCTCACTCGGGATTAGAGATGCTGAAAGTAGGCTATGTACTAAACATATGTTCCCTTAGTACCTTTATTGCAAACCATAATACCCGAGAGAGACAGAGAGAGAGAGAGAGAGAGAGAGAGAGAGAATGTGTCTGCCACAGAGGCAGGGGGTGGGAAGGGGTGGGGGTGGCAGAAGAGATACTCGGAACATTGGTGGTGGAGAATGAGCACTGGTGGAGGGACGGATACCTGAACATTATATGCTTGAAATGAAAAAAATGGGCTGGAGCAATAGCACATTGGTAGGGCGTTTTCCTTGTGCGTTGCCGACCCAACCAACCCGGATTCAACTCCTCTGCCCCTCTTGGAGAGCCCAGCAAGCTACTGAGAGTATCTCACCCACACGGCAAAGCCTGGCAAGCTCCCCATGATGTATTCAATATGCCAAACACAGTAACAATAAGTCTCACAATGGAGACATTACTGGGCCCGCTGGAGCAAATCGATGAACAATGGGAGAACAGTGACAGTGACAGTGAAAAATAATTTAAAAAATTGTTTTAAAGAAACAAAGCCCACGGAATGAGAAAAATTATTTACCCATCTGATAATGAGTTAATATGAAAGATATATAAGGCATTGGTGGAACTTAACAAGAAAAGAAAAAACATCCAATACCATCAAAAGACTGGGAGAAGAAATGAACAGAAATTTCCTCAATGAATAAATTTAAATGGCCAAAAGGCACACAAAAAAAATACTCTACATCACTAATCAACAGGGAGATGCAAATCAAAACAACAATGAGATATTATCTCACACCTTAGAGACTGCCATACAACCAAAAGAACAAGAACAACCAGTACTGGTGCAGATACAGGGAAAAAGGACTCTCATTCATTGCTGTGGGGAATGCTGACTGGTCCAGCCTTTTTGGAAAACAATATGGGCATTCATCAACAATATGGGCATTCATAGAAGTTGAGCCCCCATTTGATTCAGCAATACCACTTCTGGGGAATATACCCTGGGGCCCAAAAACACACAGCAGAAGCACCACTTGCACTTCTATGTTCACTGCAGCACTATTCACAATAGCCAGAATCTGGAAACAACCTGAGTGCCTGAGAACACACTACTGGATAAAGAAACTATGGTAGATCCACAAAATGAAATACTATGCACCTGTTAGGAAAAATAAAGTCATGAAATTTGCTTAAAAATGGATGAACCTGGAGAGCATCATGTTGAGTGAAATGAGTCAGAAGGAGAGGGACAGAAGTAGAATGACTGCACTCATTTCTAGGATATAAAAAAATAGTATGAGACTAATATTAAAGGCCAAGTAAAATGGGTCAGGAGATTGGGTCAATGGTTGGAAGCTTGTCATAGTGTATAAGGGGCAAAGGGCAGTTAGGATGAGAAGTTACCAGTATGATAATAATTGTTAGATGTGATCACTCTAAGAACTGAGTGTTGAAAATAGGTAAAGGAATATACATGATAACCTTTCAGTATCTGTACCGTAAACCATAATGCCAAAAAGGAGAGAGAGAGAGAGAGAGAGAGAGAGAGAGAGAGAGCAAGAGTGGGAGGGGGAGAGGGAGAGAGCAAGAGAGAGAGAAAGAGGGAGAGAGAGAGAAAGAGAGAGAGAGAGAGAGAGAGAGAGAGAGAGAGAGAGAGAGAGAAAGAGAAGAAATGTGCTTGCCACTGAGACAGGCAAGATGGTGGAGAAGGGGGGCAGGAGGGAAACTGGGAATATTGGTAGTGGGAAATATACACTGGTGAAGGGATGGGTGTTAGAACATTATATAACCAAAACTCAGTCATGAACAACCTTGTAACTGTGCATGTCATTGTGATTCAACTAAAAAAATTTTTTTAAAAGATAAATCCAATTTAAAGTATAGAATTCTATTTTTTAAGGAAAACACTGCAGCCTAGTGGCTGAGATGATTGCAGAAAACCTGAAGCTAGATAGTCGAATGCCGCTATTTACTACTAGTTGTCTATTATTAATTGATAATGTTTCTGAATATTCATGGACATGTTTTTGTGTGTGTCTATGCTGGGTACCAAATTGTCTTGAAGACTGCAGCTTTGCAGTCTTGCAATGCCTATATCTTGTTTGTAGTAAATAGCAATGCTTCTATTTTCTAAGAGAAAATGGCATAGGAATTACTGTTTTTAATGCAAATGAAAAAATACTCTAATCATGTTTGGTTAGTAAAGGCATTACCACCTTAGTTATTAGCACTGATATCAATATTAGAGATGATAATAATAGTAACTTATAAAGACTTTATTGATTGATTGATTTAGAGACTACACTTCGCAGTGCTCAGGGGTTACTCCCAGCTCCGTGCTCACTTTTGGTGGTGCTTTGGGGGTCCATATGGGATGCCAGTGATTGAAGCCAGGTCAGCTGCATGTAAGGCAAAGGTCCAAACCACTGTACTATCACTCCAGCCCCTACACTTACCAACACTTTATACCAGGCATTATTCATTTAATCTTTACAATCCCAAGAAGTAAATAGCACTGCAGCACTGTAGCACTGTCCTCCCATTGTTCACTGATTTGCTCGAGCAGGCACCACTAATGTCTCCATTGTGAGACTTGTTGTTACTGTTTTTTGGCATATCGAATACTCCATGGGGAGCTTGCCAGGCTCTGCTGTGTGGGTGGGATACTCTCAGTAGCCTGCCGGGCTCTCTGAGAGGGATGGAGGAACTGAACCCGGGTCAGCCACACACAAGGCAAACACCCTACCTGCTGTGCTATCGCTCCAGCCCAAGAGGTAAATACAAACATTAATCCAAATTTCACAGATAAGAACATGAAAGCCTAGAAAAGTTAGAAAACTTGACGAAAGTCAATTGTACTTCTCAACTAAGAATGGTCAGAGGCCAATTTCACAGAAATTAAGATTGGTGGGAGCCCAGTGCCATCTTACAGCGCAACAAAGAAGAAAACCGGCTGGGGGGACCACAGCTCTCGGAGAATGCTCCAGGTCCCAAACAGAACCGATATCACAGGGAGGTCCCAGATGGGATAGGTGCTCCATCCCGCCTTCTCCAGATGGAACCCCAATAATGACCATGAGCATGCAAGCGGGCACCAGGACATTCTTTCCAAACCTTATATACAAAGTGATCAATGGAAAATGACATCTCCTTATATACAAAGTGATCAATGGAAAGTAAATCATCCAACGTTTCTCTCTGAAAATCAGACTTAACTCTTTTGCAAACCACAACACCCAAAAGGAGAGAGAGAACAGAGGGGAATGCCCTGCCACAGAGGCAGGGTGGGAAGGGGGAATGGGGGGTGGGAGGGATACTGGGATCCGTGGTGGTGAGAAATGGGCACTGGTGGAGGGATGGGTATTCGAAATAAATTTAAAAAATGGCAAATAGAATTATTAAAAAATAAATCAATAAAGTCAATTTGTGATAAAAAAAAAAAAAAGATTGGTGGGAGCAAGATGATGCAGACACCTCTGTCTCCACCTTATAGATTTAGGCCTTCCCAGGAGTAGCTGCATGAACCGTGGTAACCACAGAGAGCCATCCTTCCCTATTTAACAAAAAAAAGAGTCAACTTAATCTACTAATCCTTCATATTTCTCATAAAATATTAAAACTAATAAATTAGTTCAGAAATTGAGATTTTTAAAGATCCCTGGGATCAAGGCTGCTGCACAGTGGTTAGGCACACCACCTTGCATGTGTGAGGTTTGGGGCTGATCCCCTGCACCACATGGCTGCTCAAGCACCATCATAAGTACCCCTTACCTTAATAAAAAATAAAACCCATGGGCTGGAACAATAATACAGCAGGTAGGGTGCTGCACGCGGCTAACCCAGGTTCAATCCCTGGCACCTCATGTGGTCCCCCAAACCCTGCCAGGAGTAATGCCTGACTACAGAGACAGGAGTAAGCATTGCCAGGTATAGCCCCAAGACAAGATGAAACAAATATCAAACATATGCAGAAGAACCAAAGTAATTTTTGAAAAAATTAACAAACTCAGACAGGGCACGAGAAATCATTTGAAAATAAAATAAATGGGAAAAAATGAGTGAAGAATGCATAGGAATTTTCTAAGACATACTCAGGGAGACAAAAAAAAGCCAAGAAAAGAAACAAATGAAGAAAAAAATTGGACAGGATCATATTTTCCTTTTTAAAACCAGTACAAAGCTGCAGTCTATAAGACAGTGTGACACCAGCAAAAGACAGATACACAAAAAATATGTCTATGAATGTTCAGAAAACATTGTATATTAATAACAGCCAAAAGTGATCCCATAAGCTTATGAATGAATAAATTAAAAGTGGTATATATTTATAATGGGTACTTATTCATGCTCCTCTGCCCTTCTTGGAGAGCCCAGCAAGCTACCGAGAGTATCTCGCCCACATGTCAAAGCCTGGCAAGCTATCTGTGATGTATTCGATATGCCAAAAACAGTAACAACAAATCTCACAATTTGTTGTGAGACGTTACTTTTGCCCACTTGAGCAAATCAATGAACAATGGGAGGACAGTGCTACAGTGCTACAGTGCTACTTACTCATGCATAAAAAGAAAGTACTTGTTAATGCTATAACACACATAACTCTTAAAAAATCTTAGGCCAACTAAAAGAAACCAGATACAAAGGTTACATTTTATGATTCCATTTATATACAAAAGCATTGACGATAGGCAAATTTATAGGAACAGAAAGTAAATTAGTAGTTGTCAGGAGATAGGGAAGGAAGAATAGGAAGTGACTCTAATATGTATGGGTTTTCTTCTTAGGGCAATGAAGGTGTTCTGGAATTTAACCATAATAATGACTGCACAGCTTTGTGAGTATACCAAAATTCCTTCTAAAGAGTAAATTTTCTAAGATGTGTAAGGTACTCACAAAACTCAACAACTAAAAATAAGCAAAACAACAAAGAACTCATATAAAAATGGGAAGAGCTCAATAGATAGTTCTTCAAAGAAGGAATACAAATGGCCAATAAGCACATGAAAGACACTCATCATCACGGATTATCTGGGAAATGTAAATCAAAATGCTAATGAGACCTCAGTTTAGTGAAATTGGCTTACATCAAAAAAGGCTTAAAACAGCAGATACTAGTGGGAATATAGATTTAAAAAAGAACCCTTATTCACTGGTGTGCAATGGTAGACTGGTTCAGCTTCTGTGGAAAATAATATGAAGACTTTTTTTTTCTTTCCTTTTTTGGGTCACACTCGGTGATGCACAGGGGTTACTCCTGGCTCTGTACCCCTGTGGTGCTCAGGGGACCATATGGAATGCTGGGAATTGAACCCAGGTCGGCCGCGTGCAAGGCAAATGCCGTACCCGCTGTGCTATTGCTCCAGCCCCTATGAAGACTTAAAAAAATTTACCATATGACTTAGTAATTCTACTCCCAGACATTTATCCAAATAGCACAAAAACAAACATTTAGGAATGCACTCCTATGTTCATTGCAGCACAGTTTACAACAGCCAAGATCTGAAAACAACCCAAGTGCCCAGCAACAGATGAGTGAATAAAAGAAATTATGGTATATAATGGCACACTTCTCAGCTATGACAAAAGGTGACGTCTTACATTTTGTGATAACATGGATAGAACTAGAAGATATCATGTGAAAGAAAACTAAATCAAGAGAAAGATATTGAATGATCTAACTCAAATGATAAATAAAGAAACAAGCAAAAAGAAAAAAAGAATAAATTTTGTGGTATGTGAATTATGTTTCTGTATTTAAGTTAAGCTATAATTAAATTAAGACAATCTTACCTGAAGCAGATTGCTTCAGAACAGGTGTGCTGCAATGACTGGCAACTAAATAAACTCAAGTATCAAAATTTATTCAAATACATATAATGATAGGTGTTAATATGCAGCATGCTGGTTGACAGTTACTATAACATCAAATAACCAGAACTGTCACACCCTTATATTTGTCATGGAACAATGTCAAAATATTCTAATTTACATGGTATTCAATAACAAAATCAGTTTTCAGTTGTTAACAAAATAATCCCTGAGTGGTACTTTAGATTTTCCACTACATCAAATTCACAGCATTTTCTTGATAAAATTATCTGCATTATTACATGTTAATTTATTTAAATTACAGTAATGGGATTGGGTTTGTCACACTGTATCTACATGGCTAATCATCAAGTATAAATGAAGTCATATCATATATACAAATTTACATATGCTTCAGAGAAATGAAGACTGTGCCATGTCATGAACTAACATCATAAAATTGTGAACCAAAGACTATTTTCTTTAAAAAAAATTCTGGATCTGAGCTAAGAAGGTAGGGAGATTTTCTTGCAATTGGCCAAAAGAGTTTGATACTCGGCACCACCACATATGGTCTCCCCCGAGCACCATCAAGAGTGAACATTGAGCACAGAGCCAGGAATAAGCTCTGAGCACTACAAGGTGTGGTTCAAAAACAACAACCAAAGTAAAGAAGAGAGAAGAGGGGAGCAGAGGAGAAGAGAAGAGGGAAGGAGAGGGGAGGGGAGGAGAGAGAAGGGGAAAGGAGGGGAGGGGAGGAGAGAAGAGGAGAGAAGAGGAGAGAAGGAAAATAAGTAAACTATAAGAGAAGAAAAAAAGAAAGAAAATTCTGAATCTTGTATAAGAGATATCCAGGTTATTTACCAATTAATGAGATGACTTTGAGTTATTTAACTTTTCCATATATTTAATAATACACATTATCTGGTGAGAAATAATTAATGACGGTCACTTAGTATCTATTATGCTAGACACCCAGTAAGCAGTCAGTAAATGTTAACCATTATTACTAAAGTCAATAAAATTTAATAAAATGATACTTAGTTTCTGTAATAATACTACTATATAGCAGGATGTTCCCTGGACAATGTCATCAGCATAATAATATTTATAATATTTATAATCCAATCACAGTAGCATTATTAGAAATGATTCAATTTTATAAATCCATGAAAAAAATTAGTTCAGTGTCTATTAAATAAAGTAGAAAACTTACTTATATGATTTTCTAGTCCTGCTTCTAATTTCTGAAGCCATGTTAAAAGGTTTTGTTCAGTGATAGCTTGATCAGAAGAGAAGGCAAACACTCGGCCACTTGAATGCAAATCCACAAGAAGAAGAAGAGGAAGGGGAGGCAAGGTGACAAAATACTGTTGCAAAACTGTTCTCCCCACCTGAGTGTTCTTCCTATAAAAAATGGAACAATTAAACACATTAATCAATACTACTAAAAAGTATGAAAACTTTTTACATAACAATAAACATAATTATATCACACCAGTTTATTTTATAAAAATGTCTTATGCTGAAACCAGAGAGAGAGTAGTGGAGTTAAGGCACTTGCCTTGTTGTTTGCAGTTGACCTGGGTTCAATCCCCAGGATGGCCTGTGTTCCCTCTAGCACTACCAGGAGTGATCCCTGAGTGTACAGACAAGAGTGGTCCCTGAGCACTGTCTGGTGTGACTCAAACCTTCCTGCCATCAAAAGTCGTATGTTATTATGACATTAGAAATTAGCAATTACAATTGTTTGTCTGGGAGCTATTCCTGGCTGAGTGCTCAGGGGCCCATTTGGTGATAGGGATGAAACTCAGGGCAAGTGCATACAAAATATGTATCCTTGTGATTCAAGCTATCTTTCCTGCCCAGTAATCATATTTTTGTTTCATTTGAGGGCCACACCTAGTGGTGCTCAAGGTGAAACTCTGGCTTTGTATTCAGAGATAACAGTGAAAATCTCACAGGCCAGGAGATATGTAAATTCCCCTCTCAGGCTGTGTAAGCCCTTCACGTGTGAGGGGATTACACGTGAAAGGATGTTCGAGGGCTCTCCGGGTGGATCTCCCTCGCTCTCTCGCCAACTGGTGTTTGGTGCTCTCAGGCCACTTCTCCACCCAGGACAGCTATTGTCTTGGACAGACGAAGGAAGAACAAGGGCCAAGCTGGTTGCTGATTAGTTGCTGTTTATTCAATCTCTCATCTCTTCCAGCTCTCTTCTACCCTCTGTGTATGTGTGTGTGTGTCTATCTCTTTCTAACCACGCAATTCTTTCTTCCCACTGTAATGCATCTCCTCTCTCTCTGCTTCCTCTCTCCTTTTCCTTCAATCCCTCCCCTGCCCCTTCAATCAATCAATCCCCTTTCTTCCACAGCCACTCTTTTTTATCCTCTCACCATGCCTCCCCATGGAAAGCGGAAGCGTGATCAAAAATGTTTTTCCAATCTTCTGACAACCTGCAGCCCGCAAGGGCAAAACAGCCCTTAAGGTGTGTTCTCCTCTCCTTAGACCTGCAACTTAACTAATATCTTTAATTCTACTTCCCAATATTTACCATTCTGTATGGATATAGTAATAGACACTTTTACGGCTTGTAGGATGACTCTCCTGGGGACATCTTGCTACAGGCTCAGACTACAGTGCTCAGGCTGGATCAATCATTCCTAACCGCAGCAGGGTCCAAATCTAGTTATTACTTTTGGATCATGACAGAATTTGTCCATGACCAAACTCTTAACGTAGTTAAGCATTATGGCACTTCGGCCAGGCCCATTTCAATGCCAGGGTAGATCATAGCTCACTACTTGCCCTGGGTCCATCCAGTCCTTCGTCAGGACCCTGCTTTTGGGGATCTAGGAAGTAAGGGCAACTGAGGCTTAAGTTGAGAGAGCAGATGTCCAGGAGGTATATTATCTGGAGTCAATCAACTCCCCAGCCACAGGCTTGTCTTTTTAACTGTCTTCTTATATCCATACAAAAAGCAATTGCTCTGAAATAACTAACCATGCAAAGGACATTAAGCAGAAGAGAAAGACAATATTTACAAGTCAGAGTCTGATCAGGAGACAAAGGTAGTTGACAGATTTGGGGGCAATCAACAAACAAAAGCTCCCAGTGGCCAGGGAGGAAGGGCAAACCAACTTTATCCTACAGATAATGACAGGCAATGCTCGGGGGATCCTACAAGATGTCAGAGATCAAGCCAGGATCCATGCACTGTCTCCTATACTATCTCTCTGGACCCCTCTAAAATTAGATTCTTAAATCCATAAATTTAGTTTTAATATGCAGGACAATGTTTCTCACATCAGGCAACTAATGACAATTTTAATTTTTTTTTAAAGCATAGTTCAAAAGCTTGCCGATTTAGGCTTGACATCAGAAATAGATTCCTTTCAGTTTTTATCCCTTCTAAAATTTAACCAAATATCTGATTACATTTAGCTCAAAAAATTAATGCTACAAACTTAGAAATAAATTATTTATAATAAATACTTATCTAAATTAAATTGTATCTTTCCTCAGGGAAAGGGCTCTGGAAGGGACTATTTCAAATTAAACAAACTGGGAAAAAATGCATTCATTCACAAAGAAAACAGTTTTCCTAAGATAAGATATTCCACATAGAAAATATTATTTTACCCTGAGATATCTATATAATATTATATTCATCTGGAACTATCCAGGGGTAGGTAATTAACTGTAATTTCAGATATAGCTAAGGATGCTTTCTGTTTGTTTTCTTAGAGAGAGTACATTTCCAGCAAGGTGTAGAGTCATTTTTTTTCTGCAAAGGGGATAGTAGGCCAAATAAATTTAGGAACCTGATGTTTAATGTATTGTTAACTCTTCATATGCAGGGTGACTACAGTTGATAATACTATTTTATATAAGTGAAATCTGCTGAGAATACAACTTCAATGTACTCATTTTCTCATATATATGTGTATATAATTTTAGATATGCTTTGAATGAATGCATTAATTAACTAGAGAGAATAAAGGGAATCCTTTAATAACAAAAATAAGTAAATAAATTATTGTATACAATTTAAAAAACTACTTGTCAATCATACCTCATAAAGACCTATCTTTATTCGCCAGGAGATAGGTCTCAAAAAATACCTATCAAAAAATACCTACCTTATGGCAAAAAAATTCTAATTTTATGAGAAAATTTAATTCTTTTTTGGGGTTACTCCTGCTCTGCACTCAGGAATTACTCCTGGCGGTGCTCAGGAGACCATATGGGATGCTGGGAATCAAACCCAGAGTGTTCAAGGAAAATGCCCTACCCACTGTACTATCATTCCAGCCCTAATTCTATTTTTTAAATCACATAACAAAATTAAATATCTTTAGAGAAAAAAGTTAGAATTAAATCTAGAACATAGTCATCTTACACCACCTGAAGGATTTTACTTAATTATGATGAAAATATTTGTTGGTTCCACAGTACTAATTCCAAAGGTAAGGGTTTTATTTTATTTTTTTATTTTTTAATTTTTTTTTTTGCTTTTTTGGGGTCACACTCAGCAATGCACAGGGGTTACTGTTGGCTCTGTACTCAGGAATTACACCTGGTGGTGCTCAGGAGACCATATGAGATGCTGGGAATTGAACCCGGGTTGGCTGCATGCAAGGCAAACACCTTGCCCACTGTGCTATCACTCCAGCCCCTAGGATTTTATTTCTAAATGACAAGGTAATATTAATACTTTAATTACCTTTAACATATAAAATAGCACAGCAGGTAGGGCGTTTGCCTTGCACACAGCTGATATGGCCAACCCGAGTTCGATTCCTCCATCCCTCTCGGAGAGCTTGGCAAGCTACTGAGAGTATCTCACCCACACAGCAAAGCCTGGCAAGCTACCTGTGATGTATTCGATATGCCAAACACAGCAACAAGTCTCACAATGTTACTGGGCCTGCTTGAGCAAATCGATGAACAACGGTAGGACAGTGTCAGTGACAACATATAAAAAAAAATCAAAATATACTTACATATTTAACCAGCAGGGAATAAGTGAATCTAAGTTTTTGTCTTTTACCAGCTTCAGTATTATCTCTTTATATTGAGGGTTTATGTTGCCATCACTGAATAAAATGAGTAATGGTTTTTGCAGACTTAAATAACCAGGAAGATTTTCCACTGTGATTTCTGGCTGTTAAAAATAAAAGAACCAAAAAATGTGTGTAGGGGCAGGGAAGAAATGATATGTAATACAGAAAATAATGTCTAAACTACTCCTGCAAAACTACTTAAACTATTAATGATTTTACTCACTACAAACTATAATCTTAATATCTAGGGAGAGAGAGCAGGGTTAAGGTATAAAAAGACCTAATAAAGATTATAGTTGTGAGACACACAAAAGAATCTTGGAACCGAGCAGCTTGCTACAAAGATGCCTCTAAACATTGCACCAGGCTACTCCAGACAGGAGCGGGTGCTGTCCCTCCATCTGTACCTAGGAATCCTGGCAGCCGCCATCTTCCAGAACCCAATGAGAAGCCCAGGTATGCAAGAGCAGTAACGGCAAATGCCAGGCCTCACAGGATAGGAGATGGGCCCGTCCCTCTCATCCTTCCCTGCTGAAGGGACCCTGAGATGATGCCTACGAACTGCCTCTGGCTAATATTTAAGCTCATTAAAGGCCATGATCCAGAGACACACAAAAGACTATCAGAACCGAGCAGCTCATTGCAAGAGATCTCTCAAGACCCTAATTATCTAAAATTTTAGAATTCCAGGAGTGTGCAGCTTCTCTTGCAGCTGTGCAACACCTTACGCTATTCATAATAAGCAATAAAAAATAAATTGTCTAGTATTGCCTTTTTGGCAGGTTTGAGTGGTGGCAGGAAATTCCAAATAATAATGGTGGGACTGGTATTGAATGTAATCAAAGTAGAGAGAGAGTCACCGTCACAGTTACAGTCCTCCCGTTTTTCATCGATTTGCTCGAGAGGGCTCAGTAACGTCTCCATTGTGAGACTTGTTGTTACTGTGTTTGGCATATTGAATACGTCATTGGGTAGCTTGCCAGGCTTCGGCGTGTGGGCGAGATACTCTCGGTAGCTTGCCGGGCTCTCCGAGAGGGGCGGAGGAATCGAACCCAGCTCGGCCCGGCTGGCTGCACGCAAGGCAAATGCCCTGTCTGCTACACAGGCAGGGGAAGGGTTGGGATAGTGGGGGATACTGGGGATTTGGGTGGTGAAAATGTGCCAGTGAAAATGGTCTTTGATCATTGTATGAACGTAACTCAAACATAAAAGCTTTGCAACTGTATTTCACGGTGATTCAATTAAAAAAATGATTATAGGTGTTTTCTTGAGCCTAAAGTATAATATAAATAGGTTACAATGTCAAGAAATATAAGAAGTTATTAATTCAGTAGTTAGAACTATTAATAGTGCTCCCTATGTCAGTTTGGAGATGATAATCAACAAATTTATAACATTTGAGTTACATTTAATATATATTAATACAAATGAAGCCAGAAATGCAGGTGACATCTGTGGTGCCCTTAAATTTATGCTTGTCTAATGTAAGCATTGGAAAGGGTTTCTTGTAGAATTTTGTATTAAAAGTGTTTGAGTAAGAATACTAACATCTGTCAACTGTTTAGCAAGGACTAAACACTGTATACAAAGTCCTCCATACACACTTCACTTAATCATGATAATAATCTGCAGCAATAGATATTATTACACCTGTATTTTATATATGCAGAAGCTGAAGCACTGAAAAGTTAACATACAGATAATAAGAAGAGAATTTTTAAATGTAAATGTATTTATAATTTTAAGTATAGTTTAGGAATCATGGATAAAATAGTGTTAATATTTGTGATAATGATGTATAAAGTTACTGCACTCCATGACCTTCAAGTTGCCCAAAACCCTGCACCACTGTCCCTATGTCACTTCTTCAAGCAAGAACTTGAACAACAAATTTAACAAGGCATCTGACTCTTCTAAACCCATATGCTATATACCAAGTCTCAGCCTGGGTTATACTTAGATTGCTCATAAGCCATATTAGTCAGCAATTAAAGTGATCCAAAGGCATGTAAATTATCTGGCAGTGAACTAAAAAACTATCTATAATGAATGAACAATTAAACTGATAAGACCCATTGAATCTTCAGTTTTTTGAACATCATTTATGCCCTTTTCCAACAAAAGCTGGAACATCATATAATAAGACATACTCTTTTTCTCCAATCAAGATTCTATTTCAAATAAATATCCTTATTAAAATATACTCACAAATATCTCCAATAATGCATTTGTTATTATTTTTACTATGTCTTGTGCATTGGTATTAGCTAATGAAATGGTCTCCATTTTGCCTTCTTGGTGTCTGGCAAGCAGCAGGGCTGGAAGAATGGCACCATATTTCTTTGACCTATGCAGAAATAAATCATTAAAGTTCCCAACCAAACTACAGCAAGTCATCAAAACATGAACAATTAAAAAGATGACAATGGGTCACAAATGAGAATCCTTACTATTAAGAATAAAAAAACAAAAACAAGAACAAAAACAACACAACATTCTGTGTGAGCAGAAGTTAAGGAGACTTGATAAAGTAGACTAGAAGAAGTAAGAGACAATAATCAAGTCAGGGGCAGAGCAATAGTACAGAGGTACAGGGTTAAGTTAAAGGACATGACTTTCATATAGCTGACCCTAGTTCAATTCCTGCCACCACAGGGCCCCTGGAGTTATCACTTGGTGCAGTTCTGAAGATCCCTGAGTACCACTGGGGTGGCCCAGGTAATCTACAGTGCCACAGAGCCTGAGTAGCACTATATTCCCGGGCCCTATCATTGAGCCATGGCCCTGTTCGCTAGAAATAGCCAGAAGTAGCCTCGAGGCCCCTGACGACCAAGTAGGAGGCCCACTACCACCAACACCAACAGCAGCAGCAGCAGCAGCAGCAGCAGCAGCAGCAGCAGCAGCATGGAGCCAGATTTTTTTTCTAGACAACTTACTCATCAAAATTATCTAAATAGAATTAAAAGCACCCAAATAGTTTTCTAGCATTTTGGATTGCTGCATATACTGCTAAGCAAAGAGATGAGCTTTTTCTTTTCTTGAGACATGGGGGGCATACCCAACTGTGCTCATAGATTGCTCCTGGCTCTGTTCTCTGGATCACTCCTGGTGGAGCTCAGGGGACTATATGGGTGGCAGGGATAAAACCCAGGTCAGTTGTATGCAAGGCAAGCGCTATACCTCTGGCTCCAAGGAGATGGACTATTGTGTGTGGGGGGGTTAATATTTTAATTTTTAAAAATTTAAATTATTTTTTTACTTTTTATTGAATCACCATGAGATAGTTACAAAGCTTCCATGATTGATTTTCAGTCATACAGTGATCAAACACCCATCCCTCCACCAGTGTACCTTTCCCATCACCAATGTCCCCAGCACTCCTCCCACAACCCCCACCCTCACCCCACCCCCTGTCTTCATAGCAGGTACTTTCCTTTTTTATTCTCTCTCTACTTTGGGGCATTATGATTTAAAATACAGATATTAAGAGGCCATCATGTTTGGTCCTTTGTCTACTTTCTGCACACAGGAGATGAACATCTAATATAAACCTACTAGACAGCATACTAGGTAGTTTTCATTAAACCTCATGAAAACCCTATTGTTACCATCATCCCTATCTTATAGATGAGAACTCAAGAGTGAAAAATGCAAATGTTAGAATTCTAGGCTGTGCTCTTTCTGCTAAACCAGCCCAAATCTCCTTCCCACCACTAAAGTTCACTAAATAAACCTTCTTAAAAATAACCAATTGGGGCTGGAGTGATAGCACAGCAGGTGGGGAATTTGCCTTGCAAGCAGCTGACCCGGGTTCGATTCCCAGCATCCCATATGGCCTCCCGGGCACCGCTAGTAGTAATTCCTGAGTGCACGAGCCAGGAGTAACCCCTATGCATTGCCAGTGTGACCCAAAAAGAAGGAAAAAATCAACCAATTCAATTGAAAAATAAGCTTTGTAAGAAATTACAATGAGACAGACCCATTTGCATGATTTATAGAATCATGTAAAAACTTGATTCATGAGAGAACAAACTATAGACATATTTTTACATATTTTAGGCACCAGTGGAGAGCCCAGTCTTTAAATCACTTGGAGAACCACAGTACACACTTGGACAACTACTGTTTAAACTCTTTGAATCACAGCTAAATGCACAACTAATGGCAAAAAATAAGATAGTGGATGACTGTATGTCAAATGAAAAGGTATTTCAAAAAAACTTTAATTTGGTTTTTGATTTTTCAAAAGTTACTGATTTCATAAATGGAATAGGAGCTTGGTTATTAGAAGCCTATGCCACCAGTATTACAAATGAAAGATTTAAGATCACAAACCACAATTAGGAAAATTTTAGTCAGAAGGCAAAAAAAGAAAGACTACTGGGCTTAACTCCATTTGCATGTGAAAAGGATTATTATAGGTCATCATTTATATTAGTGACAATTGCCAAATTTTTCAGTTCAGCTTCAATTCTGCAGCAACTATAGACTCTTGAAATCTCAGTAACTTCAAATTCTACAAGTAAATTAATATAAATGGCTAAAAAATAGTAATAAAACACTATTAGGTCTGTTTGCAATTGCTCAAAATCATCTAACATTCCCCAAGAATGAGGGGAGAAAGGGACTCACCTTCATTGCTGGTAGGGATACTGAGTGGTTCAGACCTTTTAGAAAACAATATGGGCATCCCTCAAAAAACTAGAAACTGAGCTTCCATATGACCCAGCAACATCACTTTTGGAAATACACCCTGGAGCCAAAAGCACACAGCAGAAATGGCCCATCTTCACTTCTATGTTTATTGTAGCACTACTCATAATAGCCAGAATCTGGAAACAACCAGAGTGTCCAAGAACAGATGACTGGTACATCTACACAATGGAATACTACACAGCTGTTAGAAAAAATGAAGTCATGAAATTTGCTTATAAGCAGATGGACATGGAGAGTATCATGATAAGTGAAGTGAGTAAACTGTGTCAGGAGAGGGACAGACATAGAATGACTCCACTCATTTGTAGGATATAAAAAACATAATATGAGACTAATACCCAAGGACAGTAGAATCAAAGGCCAGGAGGTCTGGTCCATGGTTCAGAAGCCTGCCTCAAGTACTGCGGGAATAGTCAGTTAGGATAAAGAAGGGACCACTATAACAAAGATAGTTAGAAATGGTCGCTCTGGATAATAATTGTGTAAAAACATGACAACTTCTCAGTATCTATATTATAAACCATAATGCCCAAAAGAAGGGAGATAGAGGAAGAGAGAGGGAATAAATAAAAGTGCCTGCTCTTATGTTCATTGCAGCACTGTTTACAATAGCCAGAATCTGTGAAAAACCCAAATGCCCGAGAACAGATGACTGGTACATCTACACAATGGAATACTACAAAGCTTTTAGGAAAATGAAGTCACTACCTCCACTACCCAGCCGACGCAACACTCCAGGACGCTTTCCGGACCCGCGTGGCAGCTCTGGCCGAGACTCACGCACGACTGAAGACCCACGGAACAATATAAGTGGAACTCTCTGAGACCTTGGACTCCAGGCTCGGCGGACCCAGGGACATAGATTCTCTGCTTGCTCCCACCAACCACAGGTGACAAAGGGATTCTAATCAGGAGCCCCACCCTACCCTGCCCTGTCTGCTTCCACCAACTACCCAGGGATCGAATTGCACACAGAAGACCCACCCTACCCCTACCGGAACCAGATAAATACCCCACTGGCAGACACTATGGACACTACCTCCACTACCCAGCCACCGCCACACTCCAGGACGCTTTCCGGACCCGCGTGGCCGCTTTACATCATAAAACACTAAATACCCATCTTCCAGAATTGTCGTACCATATTTGATAGGGTTCAAATATGGTAACACCTACGAGGGCGATTAGAGTTTGCCCCAAAAGCCTCTATCCTTCTCGGAAAGACTGGCAAGCTACCGAGAGTATTCCGCCCGCACAGAAGAGCCTGGCAAGCTATCCGTTGTGTATTCGATATGCCAAAACCAGTAACCTGATTTCACTCACCTGATCCTGAAGGCTTCACCGATATGGTAGCACTGAGAAGGATGAGAAAGGAGAGGCCGATAAAATCTCAAGGCCGAACTAGGCTGCCACAACGAAGGAAGACAAAAATGATAGTCTGTACTTTCAATGCACGTACGCTAGCATGAGATGCACCCATCGAGGACCTGATGGCACAAGCAGGAATGATCAAGTACGACATCATTGGTCTGACCGAGACAAGAAGGCATGAATCTCACCATGCCGTTTTCGACACTGGAGAAGAATTGTTCCTCGGAACATGTGATAAAAGAGGTGTCGGAGGTGTCGGTGTCCTTGTCAACACAAACTTGGCCATGAGCATTGATTCGTTCGAATGCCTAGCAACCCGAATCAGACGTTTACATTTGAATAGATGTGGCTCACTGCCGGCAGTTTCTATCTTCGTTGTCTACGCACCAACATCTCATTATGATGAAAGAGAAATTGAGAAGTTCTACATGGAGCTGGAGAAGTTCTATAAAGAAGATCACACCTTCTACAAGATCATTGTGGGTGATTTTAATGCCAAGATAGGCCCGAGAAGATCAGCTGAAGAACTTCACATCGGGACCCATGGCCTAGAATGGAACGAACAGGGTGAGAGACTGCCTGAGTTCATCATGTCGACCAAGACCATCCATGGTAACTCACAGTTCCAGAAGGCAGAATCTAAACGTTGGACATGGGAGTCTCCCGGTGGACGATTCCACAACGAAATAGACCACATCATATTCAATCGAAGGTTTTGCCTGACCGATGTCGCTGTTGTCCCAAAATTCTGAATGGGATGGGACCACCGTCTCCTTCGTGCAAAATTCTACTTCACAGAGTGGAGAGAAAGGGCTGCAAAGTTTAAAAAGAGAACTCCCAGAATGACCACCAACTGGGACCTCTTTGGCACTATTGCGGCAACATGGGAAGATGCCATTGTTGACAACATTAACGAGGAATACGATCGACTGGTACAGCACCTCCATGAATGTGTGAGGAACGCCAAGAGAGAGATAGCCACAAAAAAATGCCTGTCTTCGAAAACTCTTGAGCTTATTCGCCAACACGGTTTGGTGCATGCCTCAGGCAACCGCAAGCTAATGTCCGAGCTCGCAAAACAGTGCAGAGATGCGATCAAGGAAGACCTCAAAGAGAGAAGAGCAGAAGTGCTGGTAGATGCGGCAGAAGCCGGGAAAAGTATTCGTAACGCCTGCCTGTCCTTTGCCAACTACAAGACCAAGATGACTGCCCTCCGACGTCCTGATGGATCCATCACATCCTCCAGAACAGCAATGGAGAAGATTATCCATGACTTCTACTCAAATCTCTTTGATAGCCATGTCCACTTGCCGACATACCAAATTCCACAGGATGGATATGTCGTTCCCAACGTTCTCCCTTCCGAAATCCGACACGCCATTTTGTCAGTAAAGAAACAAATAGCACCCAGCCCAGACAAGGTCAGACCTGAACACCTGAAGAACCTGCCATCAGTACTCATCAATACACTGGCTCGGCTCTTCACACGCTACCTGTCTGAATGCAAGGTTCCGTCCCAATGGAAAACCAGCAGGACCGTACTACTGTTCAAGAAGGGAGACATCCATGACATTGGCAACCATCGCCCTATCTGCCTATTGTCTGTCATCTACAAGTTGTTCACTCGAGTCATCCTAAATAGGATTGGCAGAACACTAGATGAAGGACAATCATGCGAGCAAGCCGGGTTCCGCAAAGGATTCAGCACCATTCACCATATCCACACGATAACAAAACTCATTGAGGTTTCTCGGGAGTTCAAGATGCCGCTCTATCTAACATTCATTGATTTAAAGAAGGCCTTTGATTCTGTTGAGACGGAAGCGGTCATTGAAGCCCTAGCCAATCAGGGCATTCAAGCCCAATATATCAAGATCCTCCGTAAGCTGTATTGTGGATTCACTACCAGGATCTCACCATTCTACAAAGAAGTAATCATTGATGTCAAGAGAGGGGTTCGGCAGGGTGATACCATTTCACCAAAACTCTTCAGTGCCACCCTCGAGAACATTATGCGACGACTGGAATGGGAAGGAATGGGAGTGAAGATAGATGGTCGGCAACTACACCACCTCCGCTTTGCTGATGACACTGTTTTAATAACACCAAACATCAGCCAAGCGGCACAAATGCTGACCGACTTTGACCATGAGTGTGGAAAAGTAGGACTACAGCTGAATCTTACGAAGACAATGTTTATGAGAAACAGCCTTGTTCCTGACGCCCCATTCGCTCTCAATGGAATGACCGTCTCCGAATGCAACAGCTATGTGTACCTAGGTCGAGAAGTCAACATGAAAAATGACCTGGCACCCGAGCTGCGCAGGAGGAAGAGAGCAGCTTGGAACGCCTTCAAGAACGTCGAAGAAATAGCTAAGAGGATGAAGAACCTCCGGCTCCGGGCACATCTCTTTGATTCCACTGTTCTTCCTGCATTAACATATGCCTCAGAGACCTGGGCCCTACGCAAACAGGATGAGAACGCTATTCAGGTCTCCCAAAGTAGAATTGAAAGAGCTATGCTTGGAATATCACGTTTCACTCAAATGAGAGAAAGAATCCTGAGTTCCGACATCCGTCGACGATCAAGAATCAGGGACGCTGTCTCATTTGCCAAGGTGTCAAAAATGGGCTGGTCACGTAATGAGATTTAAAGACGACCGCTGGACTAGAGCTGTTACTGACTGGATTCCACGGGATGTCAAAAGACCGCGTGGCCACCCACCTACCAGATGGTCAGACTTCTTCATCAAGATCATGAACGATCGGTTTGAGGTTCTTCATGTTCCCAGAGCGAACAGATGCCATTGGGCTACACTAGCACGCGACAGGGACAAATGGAGACGTTACTGGAGCCCGCTCGAAAACTTGCATATAAGTGAATTAACATGGAGAGTATCATGTTAAGTGAAATGAGTCAGAAAGAGGGGGACAGACATAGGAAGATTGCACTCATTTCTGGAATATAAAGTAACAGTATGGGAGACTTACACCCAAGAATAGTAGAGATGAGTACCAGGAAGATTGCTTCACAGCCTGGAAACCAGCCTCACATGCTGGGGGGGAAAGGCAGTTCAGATAGAGAAGGGACCACCAAGTAAAGGATGCTTGGATGACCCACTCTAGATAGAAGATGTGTACTGACAGTAGACTATAGACCAAACATGAGGGCCACTTAATACCTGCATTGCAGACCACAAGACCCTAAAGGAGAGAGCGAGTAAAAAGGGAATCTGCCTGCCACCGAGGGGGGGGGGTTGGGGAGGACAGGATACTGGGAACATTGGTGGTGGAGAATGGGCATTGGTGGAGGGATAGGTACTCGATCATTGTATGACTCAAACATGAGCACGAAAGTTTGTAAGTCTGTAACTGTATCTCGCAGTGATTCATTAAAAAATTAAAAATTAAAAAAAATTAAAAGTGCCTGCCATAAGGGACAGAGACAGGCTGGGGGGGGGGGGGGAGGGGCAGTGGTGGCAAGAGGGAAACTGGGGGTATTGATGGTAGGAAATGTACACTGATGGAGGGATGTATGACTGAAACCTGATCATAAACAGCTTTGTAACTGTGTATCTCATGATGATTCGGTTTTTCAAAAAATATTAATAAACAAAAAGATTCTAGCCAGGAGTAACCTCTGAAAGCTTCTAAATGTAGCCCAAGCTCTCTTCTACCCACCCCAAAGTATTCTAAATAGCTTGGTAGTACTTCCCTAGAAAAAGATTAAATTTCTGTTGCTATCTTATAATATTCATTCATCAACTATGTAAAGACAAACAATTTATTATTTTGCAAACTCCATCCTCTGCCAAATTATGAAAACAATAAACTTACAGTATAAAAACATCTTCTTTAGAATAAATTCCAGTGATAACACATCCTTTTAGGTACTTCCCTGCTTCAATGAAATCTTTTGCTATAAATGTACAGACAGAAAAATCAGAAACATTTAAAATTTTGGTTTAAATTTAAACTATGGGTGATTCTTACTGGTAAATGATTTACAAATGAGAGAACTTTAATACTAGTTAATTACAAAGATAAATATTTATGTACAGCCTTACATAACTTAGTGGTTCTGAAATAAATGTCTTTTATGACAGCTGATTATGAAGAAATATAAATTGATGTAATATAACTGCCACTTTCCACATGTCAGACGAGCCTCATGCATGAAGGAACTGGCAGAGGAACCCAGGCCTGCGGAACCCGGGGCTGAGATCTCCAAGCCTGCTCGGACCGGGACTGGGCCTCCTCCACCCAGATCCCCCCATCTTCTAATAGGTAGTCATTACACCCACCAACTGCCTCCCTTCCCCCCTCCCCCGGTGCTGTGTTATCCCATAAACGGCCAAGACCCAGAGACTATAAAACCCAACTCCCGGAAACTCTCATTATCTAGTTCTTACTCTTGGAGAACCCGGCAGGCTACCGAGAGTATCCTGCCCGCACAGCAGAGTCTGGCAAACTCCCCATGGCATATTCGATATGCCAAAACCCAATAACAATGATGGGTCTCATTCCCCTGGCCCTGAAAGAGCCTCCAATGTGGCACTTTCTAAACTCTCAGGGCTAGGACGAAGGAGATGTTACTAGTGCCTGCTGGAGGAAATCGATGAACAACGAGATGATAGTGATACAGTGAATATAACTGTAATCTCTAAACAACTACACTATAAATGCAATTTATAATATTTATAACACTCTAATCATATTAAATTGCTAAGTAAATATTTATTACTTTTTTATTTACTTTAAGGTGGATTAGATGAAGACAGACATCATGTATGCAGTCAAGAAAGAGAAGTAGGTGAAATTACACACACATAATCCCAGAATTTAAAACCTCCTATGTGCAAAACACAATACCTATGTTAAGGTTTTCCACATATGGGGATTTGTATCTTCTTTTTGAATCTGTCCTGTCTCCTATTTTATGCTGATAAGTAATCTTAGAAAACTACACTCCTATTTCCATACAATTTTTACATGCAAAAGCCTTTTACTCAAAACCAGGTTTCCTAAAAGACTCTTCATGAATCTACTTGTTGATGTACTCCATCTTTGTTGGATAGTCTCTCTAAGACTGCAGACCCTGGGTGCACAGACATTTCCGCTAACACAGAATGCAGACTCTCCTCCGAGTATTTAAAATCAGGTATATTATTCTTTTTGTTAGAACTTTATTCATAACATATCCCAAAATTAAATATAAAGACATATTAAGTCCTAAAAATACATACTAACCATAAATATATTTTAATAGAATTATGGTAAATTACAAAGTTACAAGGTCATTCATGATTGAGTTCAAAAGAAATACATAAATTTAGTAATACTGCTTTTTTTCACTCACTCACATTTTACTTATACATACATTTACCTTTTCTATTTTTTTTAAGTTCAGATAGCAAAACAGTTGGGAGGTAGTAACACTTAAGTAACTAGATTTGCTTCCAGTTCCTAGGTCTTCATTTCTATATTCAACATTTAACAAAATGTGACCGGAACTCCTTGGATAAATGACTGATTTCAGAATGGGGCTGAGAAAATATTAAAACAAAGGGCACATTCAACAAACAACAAAGAATGTCAAAAGAATGGAAACAGATTGAAAAGGTGTGCACAGTCTAACTTGGAACAATATAAACAAATAAATGATAGTAACTGATTGTCATTCATTGATTGAACAAGATTTCAGACATCCATTACAATAGAAAAAGGTGAAGGGAAAATTCATTCTTACAGTAGTGTGCCCACAAATAAATGGAGGAATTATAATACTCCATCTAGACTTATCATTTTGCAGGCAATGAATTTTAAAACTGAAGTGTAAAAGCTGATTGGAAAAACAGAACCTTCACAAAGTTTTACATGATCTCCATACAGCATACTTATAAATTATAAAGAAAAACAAGTAACTTTCAGTAAAAAGAACTGGCAGAAACACCAGTGAATAAAAGACAAAAGTAAGTTCCCGAGCACTACTAGGTGTGGTCCAAAAAATAATTTAAAAATGAATAATGCATATAATATGCAATTTACAAAATACAATCTATGCCCATTAAACACCCTACTTAAATATTTTTCTGCTTCTTAAACAAAGATAATCTTCAGTGGACATAAAATCCTGTTTCTGGATAAATATATGACTGTACTCAAAAACTTTTAAAGACTTTTTTAGATTAAAAAAAAGAATTGCAAACCACAATGCCCAAAAAGAGAGAGAGAGAGTGAGTGGGAGAAGGAGGAGGGAGGGATACGGGGGGAGGGGGGTGAGAGAGAGAAGAAGAAGAAGAAGAAGAAGAAGAAGAAGAAGAAGAAGAAGAAGAAGAAGAAGAAGAAGAAGAAGAGGAGGAAGAGGAGGAAGAGGAAGAGGAAGAGGAAGAGGAGGAAGAGGAAGAGGAAGAAGAAGAAGAAGAAGAAGAAGAAGAAGAAGAAGAAGAAGAAGAAGAAGAAGAAGAAGAAGAAGAAGAAGAAGAAAATTGTCTGTTATAGAGGCAGGCTGGCAATATAGGGGGAGTTGGGGGAGGTGGGAGAGAAACTGGGGACATTAGTACTAAGAAATGTATTATGTGGAGGGATGGGTGTTGGAACACTGTATGACTGAAACCCAATCATGAACAGCTTTGTAATAGGCTACTCATGGCGATTCAACAAAAAATTTTAATACATATGAAATTAATGGAAGCCTATGTCTAGCAAATACTAAATTCTATAGGATAAACATCTAATTAAATAGCAATTAATACTATTATAAACAGTCAAAATACTATTATAAATATCAAAAAATACATACAAAACCTAAGTTAAAAAACGTTCTTACAGCAATCTTTTAAAACATTATTATTAGTTTATGGTGAACAATTAAATTTTGAGTTATTCATTTAATCAAATGCCATACAGCAATGATACTTTGAAGAACATTAATAACATGGCAAAAGTACAGCAGTATAATATTAAAAACAGCAAGACACTGACCTGGATATACAATACTACCATACTGCTTTATTTATATCAAGTACATGTAAGTGTGCAATTTATTTATAACTATATATACAGGGATATATTTTTTTTAAAAAAAAGCAAACAAAATTGTATAGTGTATAATTCAGAGGTTAAATTCTACTCACCTGTTGTCATGGTAGGACTAAATAGTCCCAGTACTGATACACTAGAATAGGAGATAAGGTCTTTATATAACACCCCACTTAAATATTCTTCTGCTTCTTGAACAGAGGTAATCTTCACTGGACATGAAATCCTATTCCTGGATAAATACATGATTATACTCAAAATTTTAACTTTTAAAGATATTTTTCAGATAATAAAAAAATAAAAAATTACTAGAATCCTATGTTTAGCAAACATAGGATAAGCATCTAATTACGAAGCAATTAACACTATTATAAACAAAATATTACTCTTATTAAACAAATTTTCTATCTCCCCAAAAAGGATGGATAAAATGTCTTTATCAAAGTTTATCCTGTGACCTCAATTATAGTATCATCTCTATCATCCCTAAGTGTGCCAATGAAAATATAAAAATTGTTTAAAAATTTTTTATTTAAATATCATTATTTACAAAGTTGTTCATACATAATACAGTTGTTTCAGGTACACAATGTTCCAACACCAAGCCCACCACCAGTGTGACTCCACTGTCTACCAATGTCCCCAGTTTCCCACCCTCCTGCCCACCAAGTCTGCCCCTTAGCAGGCCCAAATTTACTTTATATTGCTTATTACAACAAAGAGGTAGAGAGAATTATCAGAAAATAGATCAATAAAGGTCAACTTGTGACAAGTTTTACAAGCCAATTCTATAACCTCATGATAAAGCTGAATACTTACAAGTGGATAAATTTTAGAAGGGCTTCAGTTCCTAGCATACCAGTATAAGAAACTGGGTTCTCCCCTTCCTTGTATATCTTTACAGCAGGAAATTCAGTAATATTTTGCTTAATACATACATTAGACCAATCTGCACAGTTTACTCTAGTAAGCAACATAGTAGATGTGCCTAAAGAAGAAAATGCACATTTTATGTAGCATAGAAAACCACTGTTGAGAACCATCAATATATTTCCCATTCATTTGAAACACTCCAACTCTCAATCCTTGATTTCTGCACCTTCGTCTCCTGTAGGCTTTTCTCCTACCTCACTAGCTAGTCCTTTTAATCCTTTTTCAGGTTCTTCTGCAAAGTAGAGCCTCTGTTTAAGGCTCAGTTTAAGCTTCCTTTTTCTGCTCCCTAGACAATCTCAGTGACCATCAACACATAATGAATCCTAAATGTGATGTAAATTTAAAGCTCTTTCTTTAAAGTTTCTAATGTAGGACTAGTAGATGGGATTATGGTCAAATCCAGGTTGAGTTTTTTTTTTAATGAATCAGTTACAGATTTACTAACTTTCATGATTATGTTTCAGTGATACAATGATCGAGTATCCATCCCTTCACGAGTGCCCATTCTCCACCACCAATGTTCCCAGTATCCCTCCCACCACTCCCACCCCATTCCCCCACCCACCCATCTCTGTGGCAGGCACATTCCCTTTTACACTCTCTCTCCTTTTGGGTGTTACGGTTTGCAATACAGGTAATAAGAGGCCATCATGTTTGGTCTATGGCCTACTTTCAGCACGTATCTCCCATCCCAAGTGAGCCCTTCACGTATCACTCACTTAGTGGTCCCTTCTCTATCCCAGCTGCCTGGGAAACCCCAGCACGTGAGGCCGACTTCCAAGCCATGGAGCAATCCTCCTGGTTCAGCCTTTTTTGGAAAACAATATGGACATCTCTCAAAAAAAAACTAGAAATAGAGCTCCCATTTGACCCAGCAATACCACTTCTGGGAATATGTCCTGGAGATGCAAAACAACACAAAAACACAGTAGAAATGGCATCTACACTTGTATGTTTACTGCAGCACTATTTACAATAGCCAGAATCTGGAAAAAACCTGGATGCCCAAGAACAGATGACTGGTTAAAGAAACTTTGGTACATATACATATACACAATGGAATACTATGCACCGGTTAGAAAAGATGAAATCATGAAATTTGCATATAAGTGGATCAACATGCTAAGTCAGATGAGTCAGAAAGAGAGAGAGACAGACAGACATAAAATAATTGCACTCATTTGTGAAATATAAAAGTAACAGAATGGGAGACTAATACCCAAGGATAATCGAGATAAAGGCCAGGAGGATCACTCAAATCCAGGTTTGATCCTTAGTACCTCATGGTCCCCCAAGCATCACCAAGTGGAGCCCTAAAGGCCTGGAGGCCCACAGCACTGCCCAGGTGTGACCTGCGTAATCCCAGGTACTGCAGAACAAAGTAGTATCCTTACTATTCTATTTCATCAAAAGAAACATTAAAACATAAAACCAAATATGGCTTTCTTTCAGCATATATGAATTAACATTTTTATTCTTATACAACTTAGAAAACAAAGTAACATCTTAAATGCTTCCTCACTCCTAAATCCCCCAGGACTAATAAAGTTTGTCCTAAAATTTTACCACCTACATTTCTAATTTTGACCATTTTTATTGATGTACTAGGATTTATGATACTATTAATTATGCTTTTCACACATACATCATTCCAACACCACACCCATCACCAGAAAGCCTGCTACCTTCTACCAGTTTCCAAAGGACCACTCCAAATCCACCTCCCATGAAGCTCAGTTCTATCATTAAAAAAATGATGATGAATTTGACCATAGTACCTTTACTATGTGATTTTTTTATCCCACATATTAGATTTTTTTTCAGTTTTATGTATAGATGGTAACACCTACACATTGACAAAAATAAACCCATGAAATCCCACAGAATTGTAAATCAGTAACTTAATTAATTTTTAAAAACTATCTTTCTCTACAAATATACAAATTTTGGTGTTTGCTCGAGCGGGCCCAGTAACGTCTCCATTGGAGACTTTGTTGTTACTGTGTCTGGCATATTGAATACTCTCGGGAGCTTGCCGGGCTCTCCGAGAGGGGCGGAGGAATCGAACTCAGGTCGGCCATGTTGGCTGCGTGCAAGGAAGACGCCCTACCCGCTGTGCTATCGCTCCAGCCATTATGTATAAAATTATATTTTAGAATATTATAAATAATTATGTGCTAGTGCACTTTAAACTTTATATGAATTATATAAATCCTATATATAAAATTTAGTATGAGTGAGAAGAATTAAGAAATTTGAAGGAAAAAGTATGAGTAGGTATATGACAGTGTGTTTCAGAGGCTGGAGAGATAGTGCAGCAAGTAGGACACTGCCTTGTGCCCCAGCACAGGCTTGATCCCCAGCACTCCATTTAGTTCCCTGACCACCACCAGGCATAAACCTGAGTACAAAGTCAGAACTAAGCCCTGAGCACTGCAGAAGTAAGCCCTGAGCCTAAACCTCCCTCCCAAAAATATGTTTAATGCTAAGAAGGGGAATTCAGTCTTTATGCTGGAAAATATTTTATTATAGATAATGCTTAAGTATCTGCATTAGTAAGTCAAATATTGTGACAAAAATCTCTGATCAAAAAAACAATACCTGATCAAACAAAAAATATTTGTTATTGAAAAATGTGTAAAATCTCTCTCCTATCTTTTTTTCAAGGAGTACCTCTGACTCACATCAGATTCCTAACATTTTTCCCTACTGTGGTAATATTGGTATACAATACATTTTTGAGTACAGGCTCATACCTTTACAAATACATATTATCACACCACACTCATTACCCTGGGCCAATAAATATTCATCATATCCACTGGTCTCCCTCCACCTTTTGTTCCCTCAATCACCGGACTCTATTAACCTCAGTCTAGAATCCATATGAGTGAAATCATCCAGTATTTGTCTTCTGATCCACTTAGCTTAGCATCATCTCCTCCAGTTGCATCTCATATAGTAAAGTTTTATTCTTGTTTTCACAGCTTAGTAGTATTCCAGTATGTCTACATACCACATCTTTACAGTGACCCTTGTTGGTCATTTATATTGTTTCCATATCTTGGCTACTATTAATAGTGCTGCAATGAATACAAGTGTGCAAATCTTTCTGGATTAGTGTTTTTACATTTTTGAACATATATCTCGGAGTGGGTCAGCCATGTTGGCTGCGTGCAAGGCAAATGCCCTACCGTGGAGCGATAGCACAGCGGTAGGGCATTTGCCTTGCACGCAGCCAACATGGCTGACTCATGTTCAATTCCTCCGCCCCTCTCGGAGAGCCCAGCAGGCTACCCGTGACCTATTCGATATGCCAAACACAGTAACAAAAAAGTCTCACAATGGAGACGTTACTGGGCTAGCTCGAGAAAATCAATGAACAACGTTGGGACAGTGCTTATCTCGGAGTGGAACTGCATGATCATATGGTAGATCTATTTTTAATAATTTGAGGAAACTCGTATTATTTTTCATAGAGGACACACCAGTTCGTGTTCCTATTAACAATGTATGAGGGTATTTCTTCCTCCGTTTCCTCATCAACACTTGTTTTAAGTATAGAATGTCTAGAATGTCACTATTTTCACAAATATTAAATGACAACTTATTGGATTTGATTTTACATTTCCCTAATAATAAATGATGATGAACACCTTCTCCTGTGCATATTTGCCATCTCTATGTCTTCTATTGAGGTTTTCTAATCAGTTCTTCTGCACATTTTAGTTGATTTGCTGTTGAGCTGGAAGATTGCATATATTGCATAGTAACCCCTTTTCATGTATATATGCATACACATACATATATGTGTATATATACATTCATATAAAGCAAATATCTCTTTCATTAAGAAGTCTTTTCATTTTAATGATAGTTTCTTTTGGTGTACAGAAGTTTTCATTTGGTGTAGTTACATTTGTTTATTTTTGCATTTGTTTCCTAAGCTACTAAGTTGAGTACCCAAAGACATTGCTGAAGCCAATGTGATAGGCAGTATTGACTGTTTTCTTCTATGTATTTCATGATTTCACTGGTTCCTATGTGCTTAACAATCCATGCTCCATTCTTTATCTCTTTGTGACATTATGCAGTCATATGTGCAGCTGTCTGAATAACATTTTCTATCAGAAGAGCTTATTGAGTAAAGACTGTTTTATTCACCATTAATTTTTCAGTACCTAGGGCATTCACTGCATAGAAAACACCATAAATATATATTAATAAATAAAACTCATGAAACTTCTAAGGCTTCAAATTCCCAATGCTGTTTAAATATTATAGTTATTTTCAACCAAAAAAAAACCCCCAAGAACAGATGCCAAAAGAGAAATTTCTATTTGCTAAATAGTAATACATGTACAGTTCCCGAAAAGATGAACTATTAGAAATAGATTTAAAACCAAATAAAATAAGCATTGCACAACTCAGTTACTGAAAGAAAGGAAAAACTTCTAACAAAATGAAACTTTAACATATTAGGTCAAAGAAATAATGTTTGACGATAGATTTAGGATCTATCCCAACAGTCAGCACTGTTAGCACTGTCCTCCCATTGTTCATCGATTTGCTCGAGCGGGCCCAGTAAAGTCTCCGTTGTGAGACGTTGTTACTGTGTTTGGCAGATAGAATATATCACAGGTAGCTTGTCAGGCTTTGCCGTGTGGGTGGGATACTCTCAGTAGCTTGCCGGGCTCTCTGAGAGGGGCAGAAGAATCCAACTCGGGTCAGCCCAGTTGGTCACATACAAGACAAATGCCCTACCTGCTGTACTACTATCACTCCAGCCCAACAATATAAGATTAAATTTTAAAACCAAAAAGTTTAATGCTAAAAAATTTACACTTATACTTTAAATGATTCTAGATTGTATCTCATATTTAATAACTATATCATTTTAGATTCAATGTTTGCAATTCTGTTTGATAATATAGCTGAGTCTAGACTTTCATATTTACCACTATCTATATGCTACCTAATACATAGGTAGTTTTTAATCCAATAAAAATGTGTGAAATGGGCGGGACGGGCACGGAGGCCCAGCTCTGGGCAACA